GCGCCCTACGTATTGACTAAAATATTCTGGGCACATTTTTCCGGTCGCAAGTTGTAACGCTCCCTTCAGCGCGCAGGGCCGCGCCGCCCCGCGCCACCGCCCCGCCGCCCCGCCGCCCCGCCGCGCGGAGTCACGGCGCAGCGCCGCGCAGCGCCGCGCAGCGCGCAGCCTTTGCAGCGCGGCCGGTGGCGCCCTCTGGCGGGCGGCGCTGCAAGCTCCGAGGGCGGCGCTCGGACTAGGAGCACCGGGGCGGCGTCGTCGGCGTCCTCAACGACGCCGAACTGCGAATTCGGAGTGCTTCCAGGCCGGAGAGCACGCGGACGTCCTGGCGAGGCCCGGCGCACGCTCGAAGCGGCCAGGGCCTCACGATGTCACGATTGACGTTTGCGAGGTCTACGAGGATGCGGCGGAGCAGAGCAGGACAGAGCAGGGCGTTGACATCCATCTGCTCCGCCTCCTCCTTGATCAAGATGGCTAGAGGTGACCTTCATTATCTGCGCGCCCCTCCCCTCCCCTCCCCTCCTCTCCCCTCCTCTCCCCTCCCCTCCCCCTCTCCTCCCAAGAGTACGTCTTGGAATTAAAAGGCGAGGCGGCGGCGGCGCGGGCGGCACTGAACCCTGTTGGCTGAGTGGGCGATGACACCTGCAGCACGTCACCGCGGTCCTCGATAAGCTGCCGAGAGTTCGAAGACTCGTTGCGTCGCCCTGTCTTTCTTCCACTCTTGGAGAGTACAGTGGGGGTGCGAAAGAGACCGAGCAAGAAAACGAGCCCGCCACCGCGCTCACGCCGAGAGGGCGACTCTGCCGTCTGATTGCGAGCACTGCTTTCGTCGCTCTGCCTCTCTCGAACTCATGGGGCGGTCCGTAGGGGTGCGAGAGAGACAGAGCGACGAAGCAGTGTTCGGAATCAGACGGCTGCGCGCCGGCCGACCGCCCTGGCCACTCGACACGCCGAGGCAGCCAAAGCCACCCCTGTGGCCGTCAAGGCGGCGAGGCAAGGCAAGGCGCTGGCGTGGTGGCGCCTCCAAGACGACCCCCCCCCCCCTCGCTGCTGCAACAGGTCCAGGCCAGTCCAGGCGGCCGGCCAGCACAGCGCTGCACGCGGTGCACGCCCTGCAGCTTGAACAGGCTCCCTGTCTCTCTCGCACCCGCACCCCTACGGACGCCGCCCATGAGCGCGAGAGGGACAGGGCGACAGAAGCACTGTTCGGAACAGGCGAGCTGCAGGGGGATGCACTCCTACACTCCAAATCCAGGGTGTCTAGAAACTATACGCCTTAGGCGCATGCCACAGAAATGGAACTGCCTTAAGGCGCCTTGAAACTAGACGCCCAAGGCGTATACCCCATTGAGCACCTTTTGCAGATAGAAGTTAGCATGTGAACACCATTGGTCGAAGGAAAGGTGCGTGCATTGTACACACCCTGGATCATAGGCACTGAGCTCAACAGGACTCAAGGTGCGTTGAATGCAAACACCGCCCTTGGCCGAGGCCATGCCTACCGAGGCCATGCCTACCGAGGCCTTAAAGGGTGTTTACATTCAACGCACCTTGAGTCCTGTTGAGCTCAGTGCCTATGATCCAGGGTGTGTACAATGCACGCACCTTTCCTTCGACCAATGGTGCTCACATGCTAACTTCTAGGTGCTCAATGGGGTATACGCCTTTGGCGTGTAGAATCAAGGCGCCTTAAGGCAGTTCCATTTCTGTGGCATACGCCTAAGGCGTATAGTTTCTAGACACCCTGGATTTGGAGTGTAGCGCGTTGGCCTTGACGCAGCGCGCCGTGCACTCCGTGCACTCCGTGTTGCTGGCCGGGCCGTGTGGGCCCAGGCGGGCCCAGGCAGCCCAGGTGCCGGGCCGCACTTTAGGACCGGTCTGGGCCGCGCATTGGTCTGTGGCCGAAGCTGAAGCTCGAAGACTGCGGTCGTCGTTTTGCCTCGCTGCTGCTTGCAGCTTGCTGCGCCTCGTCGCTGGCCCAGCAGCCCCCGCCTCGCCAGGCCCGCCAGGCCGCCGAAATACGGCCGCGTCGTGGCGGACTGCGGCGGCCCGGGCCGCGGCGTTGCCAACTCTCACCTGTCTTAGACCACAGGAAGTTATATGCACGGGTGGAGCCGGCTCCTTGAGCCCAAAGCCAGAGCCCAGGCCCGGGCCAAGTCGCTGCTTTGGGCCTCTCTATACGCGGGCTGCGCGCCGCTGGCTCGGAGCGGTGGCGCGCCCTGGCGGCGGCGCGCCCAAGCTGCGTCCTGCGACGCCGCGGCATGCGACGAGCTGCTGGACGGACGGGATGAGGGAAGGACTCCGCCTCGGACTCCGCCGTCCCCGAGCAGAGCATCTTTGCACTTCATGAGGAAATGGGGGTAGGTTTAGTTACAGGTTGCGCCCAAACATGTATTTAGGTGGATCAATAGACCATTCTAGTCGTGGCCAAGTGAAGAACAAGAAGAATCACAAAAGACTCTTTTAGGGCATTTAGAGTGCATATATTCACTGAAAATAGGTTGTATTTACAAAAAAAAATATTCTCACCAACTTCTACCAAGCAAAGGGTCTTAAGTATTCAAAGCAAAAGTGCTAAAAAGTTGTCTTTTGTGATTCTTCTTGTTCTTCTCTCGGCCACGACTAGGATGGTCTATTGTGATCAAGTCGAGACAATCATTTGCAGCACACAACAATCAGCACTCAGAAGACGACCGCCTGTCTGATGCATCACGCGCTTTGTCAAGAACCTCGGTTCAGGAATATAGTCGCCGAAAACGCAACTTGATTCCAGCATCATGGTGCAGTGGTTCGTCGCTCCGTCTCCCTCGCACCCCCACGGAACGCAGCGGAACGCAGCGGAACGCCCCGTGAGTGCGAGAGAGTCGAAAGCGCTGCTCGGAAGCGACGCACAGTGGGCCAGAAGATTGGTGGAGCGGCCAAAACTCTAGACGCGTTTTGAGCTCCAGAGTCGCTAAACAGGACTTGAACTGAACGTGTGACCCCACCAATGGATTGCTCTCCGAACGAGGAATCCAGTGGTAGGGTCACACGTTCAGTTCGAGTCCCATTTAGCGACTCTGGAGCTCAGAACGCGTCTAGAGTTTTGGCCGCTCCACCGGTCTTCTGGCCCACCGTGCGAGTGCCGGCAGACGGCAGACGGCCCAAGGGCACCGGGACTGCCAGCACGGCCAGGACCCGGGACGTGGCAATGCATCGGTAGGCAAGGCCGCCGCATCGCCGCATCGCCTCTCCCTTCCCTCTCCCCGCAGCACCTCGAGGACCGGGAGAGGGCCTGGAGGGGGGCGGGCAAGGAACCAAAGCAGTTTCGGCAGGGGACCGTCCGCGCGCTAACCAACGCCGAGGGTCAACCCACGCGCTTTGCCAAGCGCAGCGCAGGGCGCATAGTGGGCCAGAAGACCGGTGGAGGCGGCCAAAACTCTAGACGCGTTTTGAGCTCCAGAGCCGCCAAACAAGACTCGAACCGAACGTGTGACCCCACCAATGGATTGCTCGTTCGGAGAGCAATCCATTGGTGGGGTCACACGGTCGGTTCGAGTCCTGCTTAGCGACTCTGGAGCTCAAAACGCGTCTAGAGTTTTGGCCGCCTCCACCGGTCTTCTGGCCCACTGTGGGGCGTGTGCTCTGAGGTGGTGCTCTGGGCGAGAAAGAACAGTCCGCCGTTCACGCCGTTTGCTAGAAAGGCGCGTCGTCGGCGCCAACTAGCCGTCAGCTAAATTCGCACCAATCGCAGCGAGCGTCAGTCTGCTTGGTGTGCATCAATTAAGGCCTAATCCTAATCAGAGAGCTCGGCGCTGAATGCAATCTCCGAGGACTCCTTCGGGCGGACCCTGCCGGACCCCGCACGCTGCTTTCGTGTCGCTCCTTCTCTCTCGCACCCCCGCGAGGAATGCGAGGGAGACGGGGAGCGACGCGGCTCCGTTTCTGAATCATCCCGAGCGCGCCCTCGGCCCGCGCGGCCCCGCGACTTGGAGTGCCGTCGTGTTATCGGAGGGCGCGACTCTTTCCTGGATTTCGGCTAGGCGGAGCACGCCACCGCCTCGCCATTCGGATAAGCAATCGGGCAGCCCGGCGTGTGGCCGATAAGAAGGACCATCCCGCGCTATTTATAGAGGCAGACCGGGCAGGTCAAGCCGCGAAGCCGCCGCGCCTAGCGAGGCCTGGCGAGGCCTAGCGAAAGCCAAATGCAAAATGGCGACTCTTCACGAAAGAGAAAAAGGGACTTGACTTCCGTAGGTTTGACGTCAACAGGTATGCACGTTAAGGGGTAGTGCAGTGCACTTACTTCCCGCGCCTGCCGCAGCTTTGCCGCAGTGCTGCGGCTGCTAGTCCAGCCCTACTCCGCTTCCCACCGCTACACTGCTAATTGGGCGGTCGTGCCGAGCCATAGGCGCCATAGGCGCCATGCGAGCAAGGCGGATCGCCTTCGGGTAGCGCTGCCGAGCGCTGCCCATGTCCATGACGTGGCAGGTCGCAGTGGCGTAGCGACCGAGGGAGGGAGAAAGGGGGAGGGGCAAAGCCAACCCCCTGGTCAGTTGGCAGTGTGGCGGTGCATTCCGGCTGTAGTAGGCGTTAGGCAACCGGGGGCGCAGCGGCAAGCCGGGGCAAGCCTAGCCAAAGGGGAACTGCAAGCGCGAGTTAGGGGCGCTGCTTCGCGTCACAGCCATGCACAGCGCTAGCGACGCGCCGCGCCGGCTGCCCGGCTGCCTGCTGGTCTGTGCGGCCCGCGGCCTGTGCACCAACAGCAGCAGTAGCGCAACGCAGCCAGCCAGTCAGCCAGCCAGCCAGCCAGCAGTAGCGGCCAACTTTTTCGGCCGCGCCGATCCTTATCCTCGAACCAAAAGCGCGTTGCGGCGCGGCCGAGGGCGCGGCGGTGGTGGTGGAGGCTGTCGTCGTGGAGCTATACAGCCGCCTGGCTCCGCGCTCCGCGCTCCGCCCCGGCCGTTAGGTGTGCTCCTTTCAAAGTAGAAGCTTTATCGTCTGGCCGTGCCGGCTGCGCCATGGCAGCGTGCTGCGTGGTGCTGCGTGCAGTGGCGGTGGCCCGACGCACAACGCACGCCGCTCAAAGGAGGGCCGTGGAGGTTCGCGAGGTGGAGGTTCGCGAGGTGGAGGTTCGCGAGGTGGAGGTTCGCGAGGTGGAGGTTCGCGAGGTGGAGGTTCGCGAGGTGGAGGTTCGCGAGGTGGAGGTTCGCGAGGTGGAGGTTCGCGAGGTGGAGGTTCGCGAGGTGGAGGTTCGCGAGGCGGAGGTTCGCGAGGTGGAGGTTCGCGAGGTGGAGGTTCGCGAGGTGGAGGTTCGCGAGGCGGAGGTTCGCGAGGTGGAGGTTCGCGAGGTGGAGGTTCGCGAGGCGGAGGTTCGCGAGGTGGAGGTTCGCGAGGCGGAGGTTCGCGAGGTGGAGGTTCGCGAGGTGGAGGTTCGCGAGGTGGAGGTTCGCGAGGCGGAGGTTCGCGAGGTGGAGGTTCGCGAGGTGGAGGTTCGCGAGGTGGAGGTTCGCGAGGTGGAGGTTCGCGAGGTGGAGGTTCGCGAGGCGGAGGTTCGCGAGGTGGAGGTTCGCGAGGTGGAGGTTCGCGAGGTGGAGGTTCGCGAGGTGGAGGTTCGCGAGGTGGAGGTTCGCGAGGTGGAGGTTCGCGAGGTGGAGGTTCACGAGGTGGAGGTTCGCGAGGTGGAGGTTCGCGAGGTGGAGGTTCGCGAGGCGGAGGTTCACGAGGTGGAGGTTCGCGAGGAGGTTCATGGAGGACTCCCAGAGGGGCCACACTTGGGACCGTCGATCGGTTGGCCGGAGCAGCGCACGGCGAGGCAAGAGCGAAGCAAAATCGACGCAAAAGCGACGCCACGCCACGATGCGACGCGCCCGGTCCTCCAAGCCGCGCCAAGCCGCGCCAAGCTGTCGCCAGCACGGCCCGTTTTTGACAACTCGTTTCGGAGTGGGCCTGGCCTGGCCGAGGCTGGTGGTGGGTCTCCCCTTCAAAATCGCTTCCTCCGGTAGATCAGACTTGGTTCCCCTCGGCGGCAGGTCTCCAGGACTCCCCCTTCCACGTTCGGCGTGCGTGTGTGTGTGCGTGCGTGTGTGTGCGTGTGCGTGTCGGCGTTTCTTTTCACATGGCCGTCCCTCTCCCGATTCCGCTCCGCCTTTTTTGCCATAGCGAAGAGTGGAGCATAGCGAGCGATATGTGGCGGCGTGGCGTGGCGCGGCGTGGCGGCGTGTATTTGGCAGTGCAGGCGGGCCGGCCTGAAAGGAGAGAAAAGGGGGGGGGGGGCAGACGGGGAATGACCTCCGGTGGGTTTGCAAGCTGCGGGGAGCGGCGGGGCGGGCGGGCAGGGCGGGCAGCCTATGTTGGCCGAAACGGCCAGGGCTGGCGCGGCCGGCCCCCCTCCCCAGGTAGAGGTAGTGGTAGAGGTAGGGACGGGCTGGGCCTTGCTGGCCTTCGTGGCCACCTGGGCAGGCAGGCCTCACACCGGCCGGGGCTGGGCCGCTGGGCCATCCAGCTTTCTCTATACGCCGCCCGGCTCTCTCCGCATTAACAGTTTTCACCGCATATGTTGGGGCGAGAGGATTAGGCTCCTGGACCGGCACCGGCTCCTTTGCTGCCCTTCGGCAGGAAGCGTTTTTCACTACGAGTTCCGCCCCGTCCTGGCGGTCCAGGCGGCCCTTGTCGACATCTCTCTGCGCAGTCCTCGAGGACACAGAACCATGCGAACACCAGAACGCACACTCTTCACTCTTCACTCTTCACTCTTCACAGTTTCCTCTTAGTTGGCTGATTCGATCACATTAGAGACAAAGTTGCCGATTCGCAAATATATCTGCTCCTCCCATTTTTCTTCACGACGCCTATCGACGCCGCGCGTCCGGGCCGGGACCCACGAAAAGCACAAAATAAAATAAAGGTGGACAGAATTTGAAAGGGGCAAAAGAACGACTCGGCTCAAACGTATTTTACTGACTATTCTCCCGGCCGCCGCTGTACCCACGCTACGGGCTGGGCTGGCTGGGGCTGGGTGGGTTCGTGCATGTCAGTCGGGCTGCCGGGCCGAAGCCGGGGTACTCCCCTCGCCCCCCCCCCTCTGCGACTGGTTCGGGAATGGTGTGGCCGTGGCCGTCCGGGCTGGGCCATGCCCGGGCCATGCCATGCCGGGCCAAGTCGGGCCATTCTCTCTGTTCTGTTCTCTCTCTACCCGCCGCCATGTTTCCCGAGGTGCATTGCACCGCCTTGTAACTGCTTGCCGAATTCGGCGGGGCGGCCGGGCCTCGCCTGGGCCTGCCTGGGACTGGCGGCGGTGGGGGAGGGGGGGGGGACGCCGAGTGTAGAGTGCTTTGAGCCGTCTTGGAGGAGGGGGCCGGAGGGGGCCGAATTGCGATGGGTGCCCCTCCACGACGACGAGGCTTTCAGGTTCTCTCTCTCTTTGGCTGGCCGTCTCTCTTCTTTAATGGCTGGTGTTGTGTGCCATGCAGGGATTGTAATATGGAGAGGAATAATAAATGAGCGGTCCCCCCCCCTTCCCTCCCTTCCCCTTGGACGCCCCTGGCAGGCCGGCAGGCCCCGCACAGGTGTGGCGGCGGCTCCCCTTGCGTCGTGGCGCGGCGGCTCCGGCGGCTCCGGCCGCTCCAGCCGCTAGCCGACTCGCCTAGGCTAGGGGCGCCGTGCAGGTAGGCAACACTTTGGCCGCGACGCACGGCTGTTGAGCGCATGGCCTACCCCGCTCCCCGAAGGGGGCCTCCGGCTGCCCGGCCGCGCCTCCAGGGGTAGCGGGGGCCCCGGCTGCACCCCGGAGACTTGAATGCGCTGGCCTGGGGGGTGCACCGCACTACCGCGGCGGGGCGGGGGCAGGGTCGGGCAGGGCACAAGGCCGCCGCCGCCACACAGTGGGCCAGAAGCCGGTGGAGGCGGCCAAAACTCTAGACGCGTTTTGAGCTCCAGAGTCGCTAAATGGGACTCGAACCGAACGTGTGACCCCACCAATGGATTCCTCGTTCGGAGAGCAATCCATTGGTGGGGTCACACGTTCCGTTCGAGTCCCATTTAGCGACTCTGGAGCTCAAAACGCGTCTAGAGTTTTGGCCGCCTCCACCGGCTTCTGGCCCACTGTGCGCCAGCACCAACGCACCACCGGCACACTGCCGCGGCGAGGCATGGTTCACATTGTTGCCTCGACCCCTCGGCCTTCGCGACGACGCTCGGCGCGCGGTGCGCACAGCTGGGCTCTGTGGCTGGGACCTGGGCCCGGCCAGGCTCTGACCAGCGGGTGGAAACTACTTTTCCGAAACGGGCGTGCAGACGTTTTGTTATCCGTTAACATCGGCCGAACCAAGCGAGCTAGGTAAAATCTGCTTACATTTTCGGAATCAGCGCAAAATTTGACAGGGAATAGGGTACTTTCTAGATGGCGAAACCAAATTTATCATGGTTATTTTGAAGCCTAAAAACAAAAATGTTTCAAAAAGGCCAAAAATCCCATGTCTCGTCGAGTAACATTTCCATCTTGAAAACGTTAATGTGAACGAACGGGGTGTCGTATCACAAATCTGAGACCAGATTTGGAATCCTCAAAAAATTTGCCAATGTATAGGCTATATAGATGGAGTAGGTAGCCACTCCTTCTTATGACAACGATCCCCGATAATAGTCGGTACTTGAGCCACGCAAATGTTTGTTGTAAACACGTAATCGACTGAAATTCGCCGACAGTTATCAGGATGAAATCTGAAAATTCAAAAGAACGCATATAGCCTATACCGTGGTAAATGTCTTGAGGATTCCAAATCTGTTTTTGGATTTGTGATACGACGCTCCGTTCGCCCACATTAACGTTTCCAAATCAGTCATTTTGAGCAAACCGCGACAGTGCGAGACATGGGATCAGGGCCATATTTCGCAACACATTTGTTTTTAGGCTTCAAAATAACCATGATAAATTTGGTTTCGCCATCTAGAAAGTACCCTATTCCCTGTCAAATTTTGTGCTGATTCCGAAAATGTAAGCAGATTTTACCTAGCTCGCTTGGTTCGGCCGATGTTAACGGATAACAAAACGTCTGCACGCCCGTTTCGGAAAAGTAGTTTCCACCCGCTGCTCTGACCATGGCCCTGGCCGAGGCCCTGACGAGCGATTCGGACGAGTCGTTTCGACGCCCTGTCTCTGTCGCACTCGCGGGGCTCTGCATCAGGGTGCGAGAGAGATGGTTCGAATGGCTCGGCTTGCCGCAGGCACTCGGACGCCACGACGCCCGCCACGCACTGGCCCGGCGTTGCACGCGTTGCACCAAAATAAAAGGAATGGCCATGCAATCTCCCTCCGGGTCTCCGCCAGTCTCCCAGTCCGCAGCCGGCGTCCCGCATGCAGTGTGCATGATTGTTGGCCCTACCACGCCGTGGGCACGCCATGGGCACGGCAGTCACGCTTGTGGTTCCTGCATCCAAATTATTGTCTGAGGGAGAGGGGAGGGGGATTTCGGTGGGACCCGAGAGAACCGCGCAGTCGTGCAGAGCATGGCTCGAAAAATGGTCGTTGGTTGACGATGATGTCGTCTGAACACAACCCAGGACCGTGAGGTCTTGCGTGAGGTGGATGTTGGGCAGCGGGGAGCACTGCATGGCCTTGTCCAGCTCGGCCCCGGGACTTGGTGCCGCCCGGGGCAGCCTCGAGGCAGTGCTTTGGCAGGTGTCCAAGGTGTCCAAGTCCAGATGCAAGATGATGCAGCCACGCCTCGCGATGCCGGGTCCCGGACGACGCGCTGCTCGATAAAAACAAAAGCAAAAACAAAATTAAAAATAAGAACAAGCGCTCAGCCTGCGTGGCAGCTCTCCTTCGATTTGAATTCGCTTCCGACTGGGACATCCGAGGGGACACCCCTCGTGGATGCCAGCGTGCCAAGGGCGGCGGAGGGTGGGCCCGGTGGGCCGTCCGGGCGGGTGGCATCAGTATGTAGGACACGCGCCGCCTTGGCCGCCTTGGCCGCCTTGGCCGCCTTGGCCCTGCAGGGCGGGTCGAAGGACCCGAAGGGCTTGCCGTGGCTTGCCGTGGCCTGCGCCGTGGCCTGCCCATCCCCAATACGGCAATCTGTTGATTTCCCTCCGAGACAGTGCCCCTCCGGCCGTCCCTTCTCCAAGCAGTGTGTGTGCGTGTGGCCTAGTTCGGCCTAGTCCTGTCCGCGTCCGTGCCGCTCGTCCCAGGCCATGAACGCTGCGCGGCTGTAGCGCTCTGCCAGCGAGGCGCGCGAGGCGTCGTGACCGCGGGACGTCCGGGCGGGCATCGGGCGCCGGCCCCGAAGGCCCCGAAGCCCCGAACTTGATTGACGCGCCAGAAATCGATTTTTGAGGCTCCACGCTGCGCCGCGCCGCGCCACGCCGGGCAGGGCCTCAATGTCAAGGAAGGGGATGAACGAACTCGGCGGCGCACCGGCACCGAGGCCGGCACCGTGACGGCCCGATCACGACCAGGACTCCGGCCGACGCGCGCGCCGACGACGCCGACGGCGGCGACGGACTCACATGCAGGACGCGGTTCGATAGTGCAGTCAGCCCGAAGGAGCAAGCCCAATTCGATCGGATGGCTGAGACGGCTCTACCAGGCAGGCGGGGCCTTCGGCTTGGCCCTCGGTGGCTGGACGAGGCCGCGTTGCCGCGTACGTCCGCCAGCTGCTATCGAAGAGGGTCATCTGGCCCAAAATCTGTGCGAGGCTGCGCGGCCGGCCTACGGTGTCGTCGCTCTGTC